CTCTTCTGCAATTGTGTCCAGGAATTCATCCTCAAATAAATACGTCCTTAATTGTTGAAGTTTTAGGGTGAAATAACCATCCATCTCTGGGTTGAGAGTGGCCTTCGAACCAGCGGGGTGGCATCCACAGTCGACTGGTGAAGCTTGAGAAGGGCCTTTAGGGTCTCTGTTGGGTTATACTTTTTCATAGCCAAGATTTCCTCCGGCATAGGCATCTTTTCAACAGAAGGGTTGCCTTCGACTGAACCTAGGGGAGTCAGAGTTCTTTCGACAGCGAGTGGGACAATCACAGGGTTGCTTTGCCACCAGTGGTCGCATCGTCCATATTAGCCTCATTTGTGTGGTCAAAAGGGGGTGTTTTCACCGCTGGGTCTTCTTATGCCGACGCCCCTTAGAATTAGTCGACCTTTTGAAGGCTAAAACGAGGTGTCGTGTCAAGGGGATTGCCAACAGTAGTCGTGGCCTGATCAACATTTACAGTAACGATCATGTCAACCACGTTGTCCTACGAAAGGCAGCATAAATAAGAAAACACCCATTTAATATAGGAACCAAAAGAATAAGAACAATAAATACCTCAACAGTATCTTATGTTGGAGGGAGTGTAGTGGCGACACTTGGAAGACTTCGGTTAGATTCTAAGGAACAACAGGCCTTACGGTCGAGGTGACCGTTTTGGAGGGAGTTCTTTTTATGGGAACCTTCTTCTTCTTGACCAAGGGGGCAGCAGGCGGAGAGTTTGACGTCTCAGAGAGAAAGACCCGGGATTGGGTACTTTCGTCTGATGCCCCACCTTCAGGAGCCGACGCTTTTTCAATAACCTAACAAACAACAGCGTGAGTGGGCAAGAGGAGGCAAATTCAAATAGACACCAAAGAACATGTGATACCTGAGGATTTGGGATTTTTTGTTTCTTCGTTAGCCTAGTGGAGGTCGATGCAACGGGTGGTTCCCTTTTTCGACCCTTGAGCACCTCATAATCCTTGTTAGCTCTTGTTAACATGCTTGAGGTGCTGCCTTGCATGTTTAGAGGTTAATGGTATGTGTAACTTGTGCCACAATTTTCTTTTGGATCATGTCTTTCCACTTGCTTGAAGTGTGAGATAATTGCTTAAACTTTGGTTCTTCAATGTGACATGATCATTCTTGTGCTTGCTTGATGTTTTTATCTTGAATTTTAGGTATGCCATTTGTGTTTCACTTCTTCCCTTAGTGGAGTTGGACTTGTTCATGATTATTTGGTGATGTTTATTCCACTCTGAGTTTGTCATGAGCACTTGCATCTCCTTTGAGTTGTTATATTGCATTTCTTTGCTTGGTCTTTAAGTAAGTTTTTGGTTGAGTTGATTAAGATGTGGTTGTTGCCCCCACACTCTTTCCTCCCTCACTTCTTTGTTTGTGCTTTGTGTAACACCTTTCTTTTCCTTTTGATGATTGATGGTATTTGATTTTAGGAGTTTGCTTCTTCCATTTCATCTCATCTCTCTTGACTTGTTTAAGTCTTCCCTTGTGTTTGTTGCATTGTTTCATATTTGCATTTATGTTTGCATTTGTGTTTGCATCTCATATCTCTTTTCATCTTTCAAGACTTGTTTAACTCTTTCATTTCATTTTCATATGTGATTGATTATGTGTGATGTTTACTTGTGCTTCTTGTCACGATCCCTTAGGATTCCTAGTCCCTCTGTTTAAGATGGGAGTAGGAGATACATTAGGCTTTCAATCATTTGCATGATAACATTAGGTAGTATCCCTTTCCATCCCAACTTTAGGACCATCTTGCATGACAACATTAGGGTTTATCAGTTCCCCTTAGAGTCTTGTGTCTTCTCTTCTCATCTCAGAACTTCTTAAGACACTTAATAAAGGATAACAATTGTTGTACCCTACGAGCCTTAAGTACATAAGGAATGATGAGTGGGGGGCCTCCTCTCACATTGTCTAGAGTGTTTAGCGTATGCCCTTTGGGCGATATATGACGCATTCGCTCTTATGTCATAGTTTTTAGTGCAACATGAGTTACAAACTAACTCAATTCACTTCTTCTAAAAAACACAAACAAAAGTCAAACCTTTTTATCCTTTGGGATTATTTCAAACCTAATTTTCAGAAAGAGTATGTTACATTTCCGTTCTACCACAAACAAGCATCGTCCCTAACTGCTGGAATTGAAACGTAACATTACTCATAAAAACACTTGAATCAACCAGTGGTCTAGTTTCCCGAACTACGTTTGCTCTGATTTCTCATACCAGATGAGGATACGTAGGCACAAGACGGAGATGTCTTGGTGAGCAACCTTCCCCCCATCACCTGTAGTTTCCCGAACTACGTTGACTCTGACTTTCCCATTGCACGAGGGAATACGTAGGCATAGGGTGACGATGTCCTATCGAGTCTGTTCTTTCTCTTCACCCCCGTTTAGCAGTAGTTTTAGATAGTTTTCACCTGTAGATTAGACAACAAGCATGGATCCCGTTGAGTACAACGGACGTGAGGGGTGCTCATACCTTCCCCTTGCGTAATCGACTCCCGAACCCTAGATTTGGTTACGATGACCTTGTCTTTCCCTTTCTCTTAGGTTTTCTTCGATCGTTTCCTTTCCCTCTCTTTGGAATAAATAACGTTCGGTGGCGAGTCTTCTGTCTAGTTTGTCAGCTTTCCCTTTTTCGCAGTGATGCGACAAAGAGTAAGTGGGAGTGGTTCAAGACTCATGACGTTTGGATGTGGCCAACATGATTAGCTTTTTCTTAGAAATTGTGGCGCAGAAAGGCGCCATTATCACGTCATATTGTGGGTGACGCGTGGCTGAATCGACATAAAACAATGATGATTTTGTTGTGTCATAACCAAGACGCAGTCGAAATTCCATAGAACCAAAACGCCCAATTTCTTGGTCGACAGAGTATTCTGTCGAAACTGGGTTTTGAGGGGGCATCTTGTTGGCTGGAAGTTTCAACTAAAGAGAGGCGACACAAAGACTAGCTTGTGGGTCGACAAACTAGAAAAGATAGTGAAGAAAATGATTTAAACCGATGCCAGCCGAAGAAGGTTGGTGGATCAACTCAGGCAGTTTCGGTCAACAAGGTCGATTGATGGACAAAGAAGCCAACACAAAGAAGAAAAACATTCGAGCGGGAAACAGATTTTAAAGTTGAGAATGTGGGAGATTACAAAAGTGGTGGAAGGACACGTGGCGCCACCAACTTCAACACGACATTTATTTTATTTTTCTATTTAAGGCAATGTCCAGTTTCATTTTGGGGGCGCATTTTGTAACATTGTAAGGGAAAAACACTCTGAGTACTAAGCGTTAAGAGTTTTCGTTCTTGCAAAATGTATGATCGCGTCCACCTTTCCTCTTAATAAGAAATTTATATCATTAACTTTAAAGTTTCTTGTCTTGTTGTTTTTGTCTTTTCTTGTTTACACATTCATCTTTATTTAATTTTACAGTCTTTCTAGAATTTATCTTCAACCTATTCTAAACAACACCATTCCACCATTTTCCCATACATTACAAACCAGAGTTCTGAGACTTATTTGACCGGTCCCACAAGTAAACCTGCGTTAGAAGGACATAGGTTGTTCGCGCGAAAACCGCATGCGAACAAGTGCTCGATAGAAGACCCTAATAGTCAGATTGGAGATTGCCATTGCAGATCGTGCGAGATCACTATTGGTGACATGTGACTTCCACAAACGGTGTTATTGTTTCGAGGTGGAACATTAAATATGTGATGCAAAAACGAGCTTTTATGTTGCGTCGACAAAGCTTCTGATAACAACAGCAGGGAAGATATGTTAGGTTAATACTCTAACACCCAAGTCATTGGAGTTTAAAAAATGTAGTTTGAGAGTGAGATTGAAATAATACTTGCAATCAATGCGTGGTGAAGTTTATATATGTCGTTTGGTTGAAACTCCCTCCTTTTAATCTGGCGTGTGATTTGAGGAGTTCTTTGATCACATCCAGTGACAGAGAATGTTTTGAGGTTCAGATCAAGAATCACGTGTTATGAGGAACCTCTACTTGTCCATCCATTTTAATAAACGAAGTTTTGAAGTATGCCTTCGTTATTGAGTCTGACGCTCAGTCCAAGACAGATAATTTAATAAAATAATTTATATTGTTTTTTTCTTATATAATATTAATTATATTTCTTATTATTTTGTAAAGTTAGAAAATAGCTTATAATTAAGACTTGATTGATATAAATAAGGAGTTTAAAATACGATTAGTGAGGTGGTTGTGTAAATTATTTAATTAAATTGAATAAGAAATATATATATAAAAAAAAAGAGTAAATAAAACACACAATGGAAGAGGAGCTGTAATCAATTAGTAGTGACCGGTGAATCAGCTTGGCGCGCTTTGCCTTTTTGCCACCAAAAACACTCCAATTTTGTGTTGTTTCCTTCTTCATGCAAGTTCTTCTTTTTATGATTCCCCTTTATGTATTTCTCTAATTCTCCTTGATGGGTCATTCAATTTCAGCTAAATTTTTAATCTTTTTTAAGGTATTTGAAGTTACAACATTCTCACTTGGTTGCTAAGAAAACTCATAAAGGGTGTGCTTTGAATTGTTTGTATTGTCTTCGTGTTGATGTGGATGAAAATAACCATAGGCGTGTATAAAATAATATACTTTGGTTGTTTAACAATTTCCCGTATTTTATTTTTCTGTTACTCAGGTTTGTCGGTTTTTTTTGAATTGTCATAAACTAATATATTTAACATTTGTAAATTAAAACAATTTTTGTTGGGGATGGATGTTTTTGTAACAAATTTAGCAGAATCTCTCTCTTTTATTTCCCTTTCTGATTCTTTTCTGTTTTTTTGTGGATTCAACTGAAATCTTTTTAACTAACTTTTCTATGCTTTAAATATGTACAAATCTCTCTGCTAAGTATAACATTCATATTAAACATTTTCTCTTTTCATTTTGCAGATTCTGTATAACAATAGGAAGGAAGACAAATAAACTGTCATAATAATCATGTGCAACGGTTCGAATAGAAAACCCTCGCAAACTGGTTTGATTATGGATCATGAATATGGAAGACCAGAAGAACTGCATCATAAGATCTCTGATTTGCTTCTGTTTTCAGCCACAGATGATGTAATAGCTTTCAAAGAGGCTGTTGAAAAAGACCATCATGATGTCAATGAGGTAGGGTTGTGGTATGGAAGGAGGGTTGGCTCAAAGGAAATGGGATATGAAGAGAGGACGCCTCTTATGATTGCTTCCTTATTTGGAAGCAAGGCTGTATTGTCTTATATTCTCGAAACCGGATGTGTTGATGTTAACCAAGCGTGTGGATCGGATAGGGCTACTGCTCTTCACTGTGCTATTTCTGGTTGTTCTGCTGCTTCTGCTGAGGTTGTCAAGCTTTTGCTTGATGCATCTGCAGATGTTGGTTCTGTTGATGCGAATGGTAACCGGTGCAGTGACTTGATTGTCATGATGTCTAATAGTATCTCCGGTTCAAGGAAGAGAAAACCACAAGCCATACTAGAAGGTATCAATGATGTTGATGATGGCGATGATTTCCTTAACGAAGTAGGTTTCGTAAAGGAGAAGCAGCAAGAAGATATTGGTACACCTCGAATCGAGAAGAAAGATTATCCGATTGATCTATCATTACCTAACATAAATAATGAGATATATAGTACAGATGAATTTAGGATGTTTATATTCAAAGTGAAACCTTGTTCAAGGGCTTATTCTCATGATTGGACCGAGTGTCCCTTTGTTCATCCCGGGGAAAATGCAAGGCGCCGTGATCCGATGATATATCAATACACCTGTGTCCCTTGTCCTGAGTTTCGGAAGGGATCTTGCAGTAAAGGGGATGCTTGTGAATATGCACATGGTATTTTTGAGTGCTGGCTTCATCCTGCTCAATACAAAACAAGGCTTTGCAAGGATGAGACGGAATGCACCCGAAGAGTCTGCTTTTTCGCTCACAAACCCGAGGAGCTTCGCCCGTTGTATGCTTCTACTGGTTCTGCTTTGCCTTCACCTATATCATATTCAAATTCACCTAGTGCTTCTTCAATGGATTCTTTCACATTGAACTCTCCGTCCAGTTTCATACAATCCATGTCGACACCGCTTTTGACTCCATCTGCATCGTCTTCTCCTGCAGGTGGAGCCATGTGGCCGACTAAGTCTCATGTTGCAGTCCCAACACTTCAGATGCCGAGAAGCAGATTGAAAACTTCATTGAATGCTAGAGATAATACTGAATTTCTCGAACTTGAAAATCGTCTGATGCAGAAGCTAATGATTGAAGAGATGACAGGTCTTTCATTCCCTTCCAATAGGCTTGCAGGTGTGAATCCTGCTAACCACGATGACATTCTCGTTTCTCAGATACAATCTCCAACATCAACTCATGTGCATCCGAATGTGACTCAGCAACTTTGGGGCTTTTCTTCTGACCTTACCGATTCAAATGTGATTGGATCACCACTGATCACTCTTGATCTGTCTATGAATTCAAAAAATGATGCGTTGTCGAAGCGGAGCCAGAGCTTTATCGAGCGCAGCAGCATGGCGACCTTTAGTTCTGAGCTTCCTTCTGCTACCTCGGTTGCCATAGAGTCATATACTGACTTCTCTGGTTGGGGCTCCCCTGATGGAAAATTAGACTGGTCCATCCGTGGCGATGAACTGAATAAGATGAGAAACTCTTATTCTTTCGGCTTTAAAAACCAAAGTTGCAATTCAACAATGGCGGCAGAGAATGCTGATGACCAAGGTGTATTATTAAGCATGGAATCATGGGTTAATTCACTAGTGAAGGATGCACCAACAGTGCAATTGGATCAATATTGTGTTGAAGTATAAGATCAACTGCATTGCCATAATCCAGAAGCAATTGTACATGGAGCATGAGGAGATAGATGGTGATGTGAATTACATTGGATCCTATATGCCTCCCTACACTAAGTTATGTATTAAATGATTATTTTACTTTTTTTAATTTTATAGGTATTGAAAAAATGTATAGGTGACATTTTCTTGAAAAAATGTAAGATGTCCATAATACAAAAGTTGGTCAGAGTGCAAGTATTTTGCATCAGTACAAAGTTGTTAATACTACTAGGGAATAAGTATATTATTCCATTTTTTCTCTTAATTTTTTGTTTTGTTATTTAGTTATGTTCAATTGAGTTGTAAGATTCCAGCAACCAAGAGAAGGTAGTTGTGAGACTGGTGAATGAAGATGCTGATAATTGAGTTGAAAAGTTGCCTTCTGCAATATGCAAACTTTACAATCTGCAAACCTTGTTGTTGTTCCACTGTGGGAATCTCGCTGAATTGCCTAAGGACATGGGAAAACTGATGAATCTACACCATCTTGACATCAGAGGCACGCTATTGAAGGAGATGCCTATACAAATTGCAAAGCTAACAAATCTGCAAACTCTGTCGAACTTTATTGTCAGCAAACAACATGATGGATTGAAAATTGCAGACCTGGGAAAATTTCTGATCTACATGGGAATCTTTATATCTCAAAGCTACAAAATGTTATGGAGCCCTGTGATGTCTTTCATGCAAATTTGAAGAGGAAAGAAAAAATTGATCATTTGGCACTACTGTGGAATACACAAGGCAACTGCATCCCTCAACAAATTTGAAGAATCTCGGTATTTATGGATATGGCAGGACCAACTTCCTGAAATGGTTGGGCGATTCTTCCTTTGGTAACATGGTGACTATGAGCATTGGTAACTGTCACCATTGCTCACTACTGCCACCCCAAGGAAAATTACATTGTCTGAAAGCACTCTCCATTTATGGGATGGAATCTATAAAGAGTGTTGGTGTTGAATTCTATGGAAGTAGTTATCCTTCATTCCAACCTTTTCCTTCCTTAGAGAGACTAGAATTTAAGGATATGCCAGAATGGGAGGAATGGAACTTGATTGCAGGTACAACTATGGAGTTTCCTAGTCTAAAATATCTATCAGTGGCTAGATGTCCAAAACTCAAAGGAAACATACCAAGCACACTTCCATCCTTAACTGAACTTCACTTAAGCAAATGTGATCTAATATTGAAAGCAAGGCATTCAGAAGATAATAGCAACATTATTTTAAGGCCTTCAAATGTATTCACCCAAGTGACGCTTTCTCCCAATTCTCTTCAAAAGTTGACATTAGACCGGTTTCCCTCTTTGACATCCTTCCCACGAGACGGTCTACCCAAAACCTTACAATCTCTATCTCTACATTATTGTGAGAATCTGGAATTCCTCCCTCACGAGTCCTTGCACAATTACACATCACTTGAGCAACTGTAGTTTGAATACAGTTGTAATTCAATGACATCCTTTACCTTGGGCTCTCTCCCAGTGCTTAAAAGCCTATATATTAAAGGTTGCCAAAATCTCAAATCAATTTTCATTGCAAAAGATGTGAATAAGGGTTTGTTCCTAGAATAAGGGTTTGTTTCTAGAATAAAGGAAACAAATTAGAAATTGACTTGTTCTCATTAAATGTAATTATTTAGTGTAATTACCAATATAGCCCTGTAACCTCTATATATACGAGAAATAATAATGAGAAAAGGATCAAGCCAAGAATTCTTGACATGGTATCAAGCCACTAGGAAAGAATAAACCACGATGAGAGCTTCCCTTCAAGTAACGAATTATACGACGAACTGCTGCCAAGTGAAGGTGGCGAGGAGAGTGCATGAATTGACTTACTTGTTGAACAGCAAACGATATGTCAGGGCGAGTAATAGTCAAGTAATAAGGCTACCCACGAGTTGACGATACAACATGGTATCAGCCTCGTAGATCAAACCTGTGATTTTCTAGTTCTGATTTTTTTCTCTCTTGGTTCTGTGACAACATCCTGATCAATTCAGTTTGTTGTTTCTTCGTTTCTGGTTCTTGATCGTTCCCTGTGGAATTCGTTTAGCGTCGATTGCCATCGTGATTCTGGGTTTAGGGCTTCGGCTTACTTCGGTTGTTTGCGATCCTCCTTTCACGAATATTGATTCTAGGTCGTGACCGGTTTGTTTTTCGTGGTTATAATTTTGTTTTAATTTTGTTTGTGGTTTGTGGTTATAATTTGGTTCCGCCGCTAATTCCAAATTGAAACATTGGAATTGTTACGGCTTCACGAGTGGTACTGTTCTTGGGATATATTGGTGGTACTGCACGAGCTTTGTTCCTTTTGGTTGCAGGTTGTTATTATAATAATAATAAGTATTATAATAATAATACTTATTATAGTAATACATCAATAGTGAGGTTGAATCTAATTACAACATAATTTCAGTGGCTTCCGAAAAAGAAAGAGATAACTTCTGTGTTCGTTTCACCGGCAAGAATTATTCGGCTTGGGAATTTCAATTCAAGATGTATGTTAGAGGAAAGGGATTATGGAGTCACTTAGATGGTGTTTCTAAGGCCCCGACGGATAAAACTGCTTCAGATGTATGGGAAACTCAAGATGCTCAAATCATCACTTGGATTCTCAATAGTATTGATCCTCAGATGATAAATAATTTGCGCTCCTTTTCAACTGCTCAAGAAATATGGAATTATCTGAAGCGCATTTACAACCAGGACAATTCGACAAAACGTTTTCAATTGGAGCTAGACATAGCCAACTACAAACAAGGTGACCTACCTATTCAAGAATACTATTCTGGTTTTCTGAATCTCTGGACAGAACACTCTGCTATTATACATGCTAATGTTCCCAAAACCTCTCTCACTGCTGTTCAAGAGGTCTACGACACAAGTAGGCGAGATCAATTTCTCATGAAACTTCGTCCAGAATTCGAGATTGTTAGAGGCGCTTTGCTCAATAGGAATCCTGTTCCTTCTTTGGATACTTGTGTCGGTGAACTTCTAAGGGAGGAACAACGTCTACTTACGCAAGGAACCATGTCTCATGATGCTGTTAGTTCCGAACCTGTGGCAATTGCATATGCTGCTCAAAGTAGAGGAAAGGGTCGTGATATGCGACAAGTTCAATGTTTTTCTTGCAAACAATTTGGACATGTAGCTCGCAATTGCAGTAAGAAGTTTTGCAACTATTGCAAACAACAGGGTCATATCATCTCTGACTGTCCCACACGTCCTCCCCGACCAGTACAACGTCCAACTCAAGCATTCCATGCCACTACCAACTCTGAAGTTGGTCCTCTCAGTACTGGTACCGGTAGTGTTCTACAACCTGAAATGATTCACCAAATGGTACTTTCTGCTCTTTCAGCCTTGAGAATTCAGGGTAAGTCTTCTAATAATTCTCAATCATGGTTTCTTGATTCTGGTGCATCCAATCACATGACGGGTTCCTCTAAATACTTACAAAATGTACATTCCTATAATGGTAATCAGCAAATTCAAATTGCTGATGGTAATAAACTTTCTATCACTGATGTTGGTGACATAGACTCAAACTTTCGTGACGTGCTTGTATCACCCGGACTTGCTTCCAACTTATTGTCGGTTGGTCAATTGGTGGATAACAATTGTAATGTTAGTTTTTCTCGTGTTGGTTGTCTTGTGCAGGAGCAGGTGTCGGGAAAGGTGACCGCGAAGGGGCCTAAAGTGGGAAGATTGTTTCCACTCCAGTTTAGTTCTAGTCATTTATCCTTTGCATGTAATACTGTTTTGAACTCTTATGAGGATTGGCATAGAAAATTAGGCCATCCAAATTCTGTTGTTTTGTCTCATTTATTTAAAACTGGTTTGTTGGGAAATAAACATGCATGTCCTACTCCTATTTCATGTTCTGTTTGCAAATTGGCTAAAAGTAAAATCCTCCCTTTTCCGTCAGGCGCTCATCGTGCTTCTACTTGTTTTGAGATGATTCATAGTGATGTGTGGGGAATGTCTCCTGCAACATCTCATGCTCACTATAAATATTTTGTCACATTTATTGATGATTACAGCCGCTTTACTTGGATATATTTTCTTAGATCTAAGTCTGAAGTGTTTTCTATGTTTCAGAAGTTTTTGACATATGTTGAAAATCAATTTCAAGCAAGTGTTAAAATTTTTCGATCTGACTCGGGAGGTGAGTATATGTCTCATGCATTTCAGGAATACCTTCAACAAAAAGGGATCTTGTCTCAACGGTCTTGTCCCAATACCCCTCAACAAAACGGGATGGCAGAGCGAAAGAATCGTCATTTGCTTGATGTAACACGCACATTACTTCTTCAAGCTTCTGTGCCATCCCGATTTTGGGTTGAGGCTCTTTCCACAGCTGTATTCTTGATCAATCGTCTTCCTTCTACGGTTATTGATTTTGATTCTCCCTTCTTTCGCCTTTTTAAAATTCAGCCTAGTTATAATGATTTACATATTTTTGGATGTGTTTGTTTTGTGCACTTACCTCCATTTGAAAGACATAAGCTTGGAGCACAGTCTGTTCAATGTGCGTTTATGGGGTATAGTCACTCACATAAGGGATTTGTGTGTTATGATGTCACTAACCATCGTTTTCGCATTTCTAGGAATGTGACATTTTTTGATAATCAGTTTATGTTTCCATGCGTTTCTCCTGTCATGAATGATATTGTTACTCTTCCTAAGTTCTCTATTATGCCTCAATCTATAGAGCGTTATAAACCAGGTCATGTATATGTCAGAAAACACAAACAGCAGGTTCCCACACCCCTTCCCGACGCTGAACCACCACCTGATCCTGTAACGGTTGAACCACGACGTTCTGTTCGAATATCTCGAGCACCAGACAGATATTCACCAGACAGGTATGATTCAACACATACTTCTCTGACTGCCACCCTCTCTGGCATATCTATTCCTACTTGTTATTCACAGGCTGTTAAAGACGTACGTTGGATAAAAG